GAAGAGCTGTTTCCAAATGCAGGCTGCTCCTGCCCCCTTGGGTGGGATAGGAAGAGGTGCCCTGCGACTTCCTGGCTTGGATTTCACTGGGCTGCCTGCAGCTGAGCGGGCGCTAGGCACAGAACAGCATGGCTGGCTCTCTCCTTGTGGTGCGGCAGGAGACTAGGTTCACTGTCAGCAGCTAGGGCAGGGTAGGTAAATACCGGCCCGTGGGCCAGAGCCGGTTCGCTTGGGTTAGCTCCTGGTAGGCCCCACTGCTGAGATGCTGCTCCCATTGGCTGCAGATCACCGTTTCCGGCCAATGGGAGCTGCAGGAAGCAGTGTCCCAGTCCGCGCTGCTTGCATTGGCCGGGAATGGTGCTCTGCAGCCAATGAGAGCTGCGATCGCTGGTATCTGCAGCTGTGCAGGTAAACATAGCAGTGGGGGAGCACCAAAGACTAACCCTGGTGAACCGCCACCGTGTTATTGCCCACCCTGAGTTAGGGATATGTTTGGTCTCTCGAATGTAGCTTTTTAGCTGCTTCGCGGAAGCTCATAAGGGTTTGTACCTGCTCTAGAAAGAAGCAATTTGCCCTCAGACATGCAAAGTGCCACCGTACTAGCTGCTCTCTGGCCTTGATAGTTGAGAGGAAAGAGGAATCTCTCAGAAGGTGCTAGAACTAGAGATGTGGGAGTTTAACTGTGTAAACGGTTAACTGTTCCGCCTGGAGTTTGTCAGTTAATGTTCATGGCTACACACAGGCTCCCGCCCAGCTCTTGAGGAGCTGGCTGCCGCCCCATGCTGCTGCCTCTGATAGAGAGGCAGCAGTGTGGTGCAGGGGGAGCCGGTTTAAAAACCAGACGTCGCCCAGTGCTGGGGGAGCTGGCTGCCGCCCCATGCTGCTGCCTCTGATAGAGAGGCAGCAGTGTGGTGCAGAGGCAGGAGCCCGTACATGCAGGGAGCTGGCTGAAAACCGGTTCCCAGGGAACCCACTGCTGCGATGCGTGTAATTGTGTAGGCACTGAAATTTGACAGGGTTACTCAATGACACGCTTTTTAACATCCCTAGCTAGAACCCATGTGGCTGTTCTGTTTTCCTTTTGCCCTGGGATCCTTTTGACGGGCTGCTCTGTGCTTGACCTTGACCTTGGACGGTTTGAGTCTCATTTTCTGTTGGCCAAGGTTTCTGCGTGCTTCCTGCCTCTGGTTATTCTGGGTCTTTTCTCACTAGAATCTTCTACGTGTCGCACGACTCGCAGGACCTGAAGATTTTCAGTTACATCGCAAGGGACGGTGCCAACAATGCGTTCAGATGCAATGTTTTCAAGTCCAAAAAGAAGGTGCGGTAGGTCGCTCGTGGCCACTAGCTTTTCAGAGGCCGGTTGTACCCATTGTAATGGTGCGGGTTACCCCGGGAGAACCCCCCTCCCTAATGGGTAGTTGGTGAGAGGGTGGCTTGCTGAGACGTTGTCCCAGATTTTACCCGTTTATGGCAGATGCTGGACGACATCCGTATGCTCGTTAACTTGGGTTTAAATATCTCGTCGTCATGACTGACCCATGCAGAAGTCCGATTTTATCCAGGAGTAAAACTTGGTTGTCTGGGGAGACGCGGGACAAGGGGATGTAGATGTTCCTGTGCCGGGAAGTGGGAGTCCTCGCCGGGGGCAGCCGCCTTTCGAAATGAGACCCGGTTAGCGCTGTCCTAGTCCCCGTCGTCTGATGCCTCTTAAATGTCCCTGCCCCAGAGCAGCCCTATGAAGGCTCTTGGGGGCTGCATGCTGATGTGTGCCTTTCAGGGGAGGGGGTGGCTCCGCAGACAGGCCCCGGCTCTGTTTTGGGGTGTGGAGGGGGGATCCCTGTCAGCAGAGCTGTGATGGGAGGCAGAGCCCCCCTTCCCCATATGCAAAGTAGCAGCTGTGTAGGGCACCTGAAAATTTGAGGCACTGCTGAGTCTTCATGTCCACCCACCCACCCACCTCTTCCTCTCCCTGCTCCGTGGCGCTGCCTCCTCCGGACAGGGTCTAGTTAACTTACATAAGAACGGCCGGACTGGGTCAGACCAAAGGCCCATCTAGTCCAGTGCTCTAAAAGTCGCCCCTCCCTCCCCCACGGGCTGCCATCGGACACAGGGGCGCCAGTCGCCCAGTGCTGCATAGAGCCCCGTCGATCCTAAGGCCGGCCCGGGAGCGGGCGGGTGGGGGGGCGAAGGCAAGAGCAGGCGTCTCCTGGGAACCGTGGGGTTCTGCTCCGCGTCGCGCCCTGTGGCGAAGCTCCTTCTCCAACGGGCTCTAACCTTCTGCTCCCCAGAGCCAGGCCATGCGGGTGGTGCGGACCGTGGGCCAGGCCTTCGAGGTGTGCCACAAGCTGAGCCTGCAGCACGCGCTGCAGAACGCGGACGGCCAGGCCGACGGCGCCAGCGACAAGTCTGCGGAAGAGCAGCCTCCAGAAGGTGACGCCGCTCCCCCTTGGGCAGGGCCCCCTCCCCTCGAGGCGGCCGGGGCGCAGGGTGGGGGTGACACTGGCGGTACAGCGTCTTGTTAGTGCTAACCCGGACCAGGGTGATGGGCCCAGCGGGGCTCGTGGACCAGAGACCGTGTGTTTTGCAGCCCCTGCTGCTCCTGCCCTTTCAGTGCAAGGACAGCAGAGCGCCTTCGAAACATCACCCCCTTTGGAAACTGAGCCACCGAGAGGCTGAGGAATTGACCCAGTGCACGTGGGTGGGCACGCGGGAAAGATTCCAATGCCCCCACAGCTAGGCTTCTTGTTTCTGTGGGTGGTGCACATGCCTCGGTGCACGTAACAAACTTTATTCCACACATGGATGGAAAAAATCCACACATGGATGGGGGAAAATTAGAGGGAACGTTGCTGATCTCTAGACCAGGCTTTCTCCAGGGCGTGTTTCCAGTCTTTTAACTTGGCTCCAACACGTGGATGCTTCTTTAAAAAGAGCCCAATTATTCTTTAGTTCTCTCGTCTGTGCCAGCCCTGCCCAGTCGCTCAGTCTCCTGGCTCTAACATTTTGGGTTGTTCATTTATCGGACTCTCTCACTTGAAGTTCACCAGCAGGTGGGAGCCAAGAGAGTGGATGTTGACGATGCCGAGGTGGACTCCGATGACATCGGCCTCTCTGAGAGAGGGAGTGGGGAGCTGCCGTCCCCCGGGGGCGAGCGGGGCATGCTGAAATCCGGACAGATCTTCCCAGACAAGAGCTGTCAGGTGAGAGGTGGAGCTGGGGGGAATTGGACAGCGCTGCCCGTTTGCTGAGGTGATTCATTTGCCTCTGGGGCCTCGCGCGGGAGCGCCGCTCACAGAAACGCCAGTCACGGGGCCTTCGTCTCAGCATGTCCCCGGAAGGGAGCAGCCCGTCCCTCCAAGGCTTGCAATAGAGAGGCTGGGTCACCCCCCGTCCTAGCTCTCCCCCTCCATGCCCGCTGGCCTGCAGGACACAGTGTTGAACTCACACGGGGGTGATGTTGCTCTGAGCCCCACATCCTAGAAACGGGAAACAGCCAGCGATTTCTTTCCATGAGCCCTTCCTGGCCGATTGCCCCGGCGTGGGAATTTAAATGCTCCTGTCGCTTGCAGAGCCGGGCTGAAAATGGCAAGTGAGACCTGGCAACGGGGCGCGTGGCATGGCCGTGCAAGGCAGGTATCCCCAGGGCTGGGTTTCCAAAGATGAGCTGCCTGCTAGCCAGGGCTGGCCCTCTGGGCACCTGCAGCCGCTCACACCACACCACCCAGGCAGGAAACGAGACGAGTTTTAAATGCAGCTTCTTAGGGCCTCCCCCAGTGTGTTTGCAAGTGGAACCGGCTGGCCCTAGCTAGGGATGGAAAAGCATCGGCGATTAGTCTGGGTCTGATGGGCCTTGGCTTATCAGGGAGTCGAGCTGACTACTCACATTCTCCCCTCCCCTTGCTGCCTCTATATCAGAGGCAGCAAGGGAGGGGGGGAAGCAGGAGCCAGTGCTGGGGCAGGGCCAGCTTAAAAGCCGGCTCCCCCCAGCACCATCTCTGCACTGCTGTTCCCTCCCCCGCCCCCCGATCACGTGCTGCTGCCTCTATCAGAGGCAGCAATGTCGGAGTCGAGCTGACTACTCACATTCTCCCCTCCCCTTGCTGCCTCTATATCAGAGGCAGCAAGGGAGGGGGGGAAGCAGGAGCCAGTGCTGGGGCAGGGCCAGCTTAAAAGCCGGCTCCCCCCAGCACCATCTCTGCACTGCTGTTCCCTCCCCCGCCCCCCGATCACGTGCTGCTGCCTCTATCAGAGGCAGCAATGTCGGGGG